TAGTGATCTTTATATTACAATTATTTCCAAAGAAATGTTCTATATTCGTTTCTTTCTCCCCTACTTCCACCCCCCTTGCTGTTGCAGGGTTTTTGTTGGGACAGGGGCACTGATGGAGATAGAGGTAGTTATTTCTGCAGAGTTATCTGGGAGTCAAAAAATCAATGCTTATTTTACTTTAATGTAAAGAGATAAACGAAACCCAATTTTACACACAAACTTTGTTTACCTTTGAAACCCTATTATAAAGCAAAGCAATGTAAAACATAAATTTTACCTGTTATTAATGTCTTCATCTGCAAATCCTGTGGGAATGAGAGAGAAATATTTTCCCATCTTTAGCCATAGATTAGATTTGGGGATCCAGCCATTATGCGCATGGATAGCATGAATTTTAGCAAGCTGGCGAGCTATTAGCCTGTTTAAAACAAAATAGCATAAAAAGAAAAAGTTTAAGTATCATAAAATTCATGTCTACTGATAAAGATTCTAAACAGCATAAAAAGAAGTTAAGCATCATAAAGTTCATGTCTACTGACAAAGATTCTTCATTTGACCAAACTTTAGTCAAGCTCCTGAACCTTCTTATAGGACTATCTGTGCATTTCCTTGTAAAATCCAGGCAAGAGCCTGCTAGGTCAGCTTAGCAAGAACATCCCATCCTCGATATTTGATCACCCTAGATATTTGATCAGGTTCCTTATCCTCCACCATCACCCAGGCAATGTCTGATTACCATAGCATGTCTTCAGCAAGAATGCTATTAGGTTGATTTAGCCAGAATCCCCCCACACTTCTCATTCTATGAGTAATTTTCCATCCATGAACCCCCACCCTGCTCTGTGGCTATAAATTCCCACTTGCCCATACTATATTTGGAGTAGAGCCTAATTTCTTTTCTCCCAATGTAAAATCCTACTGCCACGGTGCCTATACCTATCACGGTGATTCTGAATAAAGTTGGCCTTATAAAGCTTTAACAAGTATTACTGAATAATTTTTTCTTTAACAGTTACGGTGTCGTGACTCAGATAGAATTAGATTCATCACTGGACTCCTGGACCCTAAGTTGCCCCTTTGAAACCCTTGTCTTCACTTCTAACTGACTGAACACCACTCCGGACAAACACCCAATGAAGCTAGCAAGGACTGATTTTGATTTTTAAGATTCTGAGTATTCTTAAAACTCTGAAACTAGGTTAAAGTCCCAGGCTTCTTTTGAAAGGTATCTTCTAGGCTGGAAGTCCTTCTTCCTGGCTCTCCTCTGTGAGGCCCCTCTGTTCTCTCTATTGGATTCTGCTTCTCCCATGGGAACTTCTTTGTCACCTGAAACCCTTTCTTAAACCCTTTCTGACTATATGCCCCAACAACTCTGTGCACCTCATTCTTGTTGACATGATTTTCTGAGGACCTGTGAAAAAATTATAGAGTCTTAGATACTACCCCTAGAAATTCTGATTTAACTAATGCGGGATACAGCCAGGGCATGGAGATATTTAAAAGCCTCCTAGATGACTTTAACATGCAAAAACATTTGAGAACCACTCAACTAAGACACACAGGGAACCTAGCATTATATTTATCCTTCACCAACCTGTAATTAAATACGCAGCTTTA